GAAGGTTCCAACGATACAGACCGGACCGAAGGGTCCAACGATACAGACCGGACCGAAGGGTCCAACGAGCTACGGGACTGGAGGGTTCCACTGAGACACATCGACCGGAGGGTCGTACTATAGCCTCGAGTGGCGTATGTGTTGTATGTGGTATTTTGGGGAACTCACTAAGCATTTATGCTTACCGTGTTGTGTGTTATGTGTTTCAGGTACAAGTGAGGATCGCGGGAAGGCGTCGGCATGATCAGTACACACTAATAGAGATTATGTTGAGATTCTGGGAATTGTTTTGTGATGATGACATTGGATACATTATGTTTTTATAATGTTTTATGATTAAAAGTACGATTTAAAAATGAAAAAATTGTTTTGGAAATTTACGTCGTTACAAGTTGGTATCAGAGCCTTGTTTTGAGGGATTCGGATGCACCTTCGGGCGTATCTGAACTCAAACTGAGGGTTTGAGGAATTTTTTCACAAAATAAACAATTTTTCTAAGGAAGTAAAAGAATTTGAGAAAAGCAGAAGGAAGCAGTGTGTACGATCAGCCAGCGCCCGAATGGTGATTTCCCAAAATACCCTTACATTATGAGTTATGAGATATGATATGATATGTTATGCATGCTAGAATAGGCTCGGTATTCATATTAGGACTAGAGTGGCCTGATCTGTGATGCCTTAGCCTAGGAGATTACTGCTACTATGAGATGCTTGAGAGTAAGTAGGTAGCAGCGAGGAGCTGATGAGGAGCCTACCGAAGGGTAGCCTATGCTAGCGAGATGTAGAGTACTTGAGATATGGGATCCAAGGAGGAGGACTTGGGGTGAATACTGATGCGGTGTGGACGGTAGTATAGGGCCCGTACTACCGAAGACACCGGATCAGTGCGCAGTCCAAGTAAGAATCTTTTGGGTACTAGGGAACAAGTAGGGTTGAGTTATCGAGTGCGAGTATACTCGAGCGGGTCTCTAATATTTTATGTTGTATTTCAGAGAGACATCATGGTGGGGACACGCCAGACACCTGAGAGCAGCAGTGTCAGTGATGAGGAGATTCGCCGATTGATTCATGAGGAGGTGGCTGCGGCCATTCGAGCTGAGATACCAGAGATGTTCGGGTCTATCAAGACCACGTTGATCGAGACTTTTGATGAGCGGTACGCCGCTCTTACTGATGCTGCTGTTTCTACGGCCACCGCAACCGTCGCTGCTGCCAGGCTACAAGGAGGTGACTCGTTGCTGTACCAAGAGTTCAGCAACACGAAGCCACCATAGTTTGATGGGACACAGGATCCGATCGCTGCGATGAGATGGAATGCTGATATTGAGGGGTGTTTCTATACCTGCTCGTGTCCGGAGCATTTGAGAGTACGGTTCGCGCTGAACCAGCTTCGCTTGGGGGCAAAGGACTGGTGGAAGTTTGTATCGGTAGATTTCACCCCCGCTGAGCTTACTGCGGTGACTTGGGAGAGGTTCACCACTATGTTTCGTGATGAGTACGTTCCCCCTGTGGAGAGGGAACGACTGGCTCAGGAGTTTTTGACCCTCAAGCAGGGTACTGATTCTGTTACTGTGATTACCCGGAAGTTTCATGAGAGGGCGATGTTTTGCCCTGAGCAGGTGTCTACCGAGCAGACACGTATGAGCCGATATCTGAGCATTCTGAGGAGAGATAATCGCGAGTTTGTGGCGAACTCGACATACCGGACATTTGCCGAACTTCAGGCAAATGCTCGGAAGAGGGAGATCGAGCTAGAGACTCAGGCCAGGGAGGAGGCGGAGTCTCAGGGGAGGGATCGGCGACCGGCACAGTCTCAGCCGGCAGCCAAGCGGGCAAAGCCCGCTGATTCGAGATCTGGGGGTCCGAAGGGCCGCACTTGTGGGAAGTGCGGCAAGAGCCACGAGGGAGTGTGCAGAGCTGGGGTGTGTTACAAGTGCGGAAAGGAGGGGCATTATGCGAGGGATTGCCCCAAGGGGTTCACGGTTTGCTTTCATTGCAACCAGACCGGCCATCGGAAGGCCGAGTGCCCACAGCTACTGCAGGGATCAGCGCAGGGATCTGTACCTACTGCTCGAGTAACTGAGATCCGGCCAGCAAAGGCCGAGGCACCAAAGGCTCGCGGGAGAGCCTTCCAGTTGACGGGCGGAGGAGGTCCGCGCAGCACCCGATGTCGTGGCTGGTATGTATTCTTTCATTTATTTATGCTGAGTATGAGATATTGTGCTTATATTATGATATGCGTAGGTACGTTTCTTGTGAGTTTTGTACCTGCTTTGGTGTTATTTGACTCGTGTGCGAGTCGGTCATTTATGTCGTTAGCGTTTAGTCAGCACCTCAGTATCAAGCGGGAGGCGTTGAGTCGACCTCTACGAGTTTCCATAGCTGACGAGAGAGCGGTGTATGCCACTGATGTGATTAGAGGATGTGTACTCGAGATCTTCGGCGTTGAGTTTCCGATTGATTTGGTCCCGATTGCGATGGGAGAGGTATGTGTCATAGTGGGCATGGATTGGTTGAGCCGTTTTGGGGCTGTTATAGACTGCGAGCGACAGTTGGTGACGATACGAGATCCTAGTGGGGGAGTTCTTACGGTGTACGGCAAGGGTACCCATTCAGGGTCAGCATTCTGTTCGGCTGCTAGAGCGAGACAGAGTCTACAGCAGGGCTGCAGTGGGTTTGTGGCCTACGTGATGGACACACGAGTAGCAGCGGAGATGCCTAGTTCTGTTGATGATGTGCCGATAGTGCGAGAGTTCCCGGACGTTTTCCCCGAGGAGTTGTCGGGTGTGCCTCCCGAGAGGCAGGTGGAGTTTCGCATCGATTTGGTTCCGGGAGCGGCGCCTATCGCCAAGGCGCCCTATCGCCTTGCGCCACCAGAGATGCAGGAGTTATCCTCACAGCTTCAGGAGCTGTTGGGGAAAGGATTCATCAGGCCGAGTAGCTCACCTTGGGGAGAGCCGATCCTTTTTGTCAAGAAAAAGGATGGTTCACACCGGATGTGCATTGATTACCGGGAGTTGAACAAGTTAACGGTCAAGAACCGTTACCCACTACCGAGGATCGATGATTTGTTCGATTAGTTGCAGGGAGCGTCTTGGTTTTCCAAGATTGATTTGAGGTCGGGATATCATCAGATGAGAGTGCGTGATGAGGATATCCAGAAGACAGCGTTCAGGACTCGTTATGGGCATTACGAGTTCGTGGTGATGCCTTTTGGGCTCACCAATGCACCGGCGGCGTTCATGGATCTCATGAACAGGGTGTGCAGACCGATGTTGGATCGTTCGGTGATCGTGTTCATTGATGATATATTGGTGTATTCAAGATCCAGAGAGCAGCATGAGGAGCATTTGAGGGAGGTCCTCGGAGTTCTGAGATCGGAGAGGCTTTACGCCAAATTCTCCAAGTGTGATTTCTGGTTACGAGAGGTCCAGTTCCTGGGGCATCTCGTTAACCAGAATGGGATATTGGTCGATCCGGCCAAGATTGAGGCGGTGATGAGCTGGGAGGTGCCGAGATCAGGAGTTTTCTGGGGTTGGCCGGCTATTATAGGAGATTTATTAAAGATTTCTCCAAGATTGTTGTTCCTCTCACCAGGTTGACCCGGAAGCGCGTGGCTTTCAGTTGGGGCCCGGAGCAGCAGGCCTCATTCGAGACACTTCACCAGAGATTACGCGAAGCCCCAGTGTTAGCCCTTCCGGAGGGGATGGAGGATTTTGTGGTGTATTGTGACGCATCAATATCGGGGTTGGGTGCAGTACTTATACAGAGGGGCCATGTGATAGCATACGCATCGAGGCAGCTAAAGCCTCATGGGACGAGGTATCCCACCCACGATCTAGAGTTGGGGGCGGTAGTGTTCGCCCTCAAGATCTGGCGTCACTATCTGTATGGGGTTCGGTGTACCATATACACGGACCACAAGACTTTGAAGTATTTGATGGATCAGCCCAACCTGAATATGCGCCAGAGGAGATGGTTGGATGTGGTAAAGGATTACGATTGTGAGATCCTGTACCACCCGAGCAAAGCTAATGTTGTAGCTGATGCCCTGAGCCGTAGGGCGGAGAGTGCCCCGATTCGAGACATTTGTATGCGGTTGACGGTGATGACTCCGGTGTTGGACACCATTCGGGAGGCCCAGGCAGAGGCTGTGAGACCGGAGAACCGCAAGAGAGAGCGGGTGATTGGGCAGGTATCTGAGTTCGTTACCGATAGCCGAGGGCTTATGACCTTTTAGGGTCGGATTTGGGTGCCATATGCAGGCGGGACACGTACCACCTTGATGGAGGAGGCGCATAGATCGAGATTCTCGATCCATCCCGGGGCCACTAAGATGTATTTGGATCTGAAGAAAGATTATTGGTGGCCCTGTATGAAGAGGGATGTAGCATGGTTTGTTGAGAGGTGCTTGACCTGTCGCAGGGTTAAGGCCGAGCACCAGCGTCCGCATGGCAAGTTGTAGCCACTTGAGGTTCCCTAATGGAAGTAGGAACAGATTTCTATGGATTTCATCACCAAATTGCCGATGACCGCGAGGGGTGTCGATGCAATTTGGGTGATCGTCGACCGGCTGACGAAGAGCACGCATTTTCTTGCTATCAGTGAGAGCTCTTCTGCTGAGAGGCTGGCAGAGTTGTATGTGAGGGAGGTGGTATCGCGGCATGGAGTGCCTATCTCGCTTGTGTCAGATCGGGATGTACGTTTCACTTCTAGGTTCTGGAAGAAGTTCCACGAGGAATTGGGCACGAGGCTGCATTTCAGTACCGCTTACCACCCACAGACGGACGGACAGAGTGAGCGGACGATTCAGACGCTCGAGGACATGCTTTGAGCATGTGTGTTGGACTTCGGAGGAAGCTGGGATACATACCTACCATTGGCTGAGTTTTCCTATAACAACAGCCACCATTCGAGTATTGTTTATGCCTCCCTTCGAGTTGTTGTATGGGAGGAGGTGTCGTACTCCCATTTGCTGGGGAGAGGTAGGACAGCGCGTGATGGGCAGCACTGAGATAGTGCTTCAGACGACCGAGCAGATACAGCAGGTTAGACAGAGGTTGTTGACAGCTCAGAGCCGCCAGAAGAGTTATGCGGATAGGCGACGAGCCGAGCTGGAGTTCCAGGTGGGAGACTTCGTACTCCTAAAAGGTGTCTCCTTGGAAAGGAGTGATTCGATTCAGGAAGAGAGGCAAGCTGGGGCCCCGGTACATTGGGCCGTTCAGGGTGACCGCGAGGGTGGGCAGGGTAGCGTATCGGTTGGAGCTACCTGCGGAGTTGAGCCAGATTCATGATACCTTCCACGTGTCTCAGTTGAGGAAGTGTATAGCCGACGAGTCCGCGGTGGTGCCGCTGGAGGATATTCAGGTGGATGCGAGCCTGAATTATGCTGAGAGGCCAATCGCGATCCGGGATCTGAAGATTAAGGTTCTGAGGAACAAGGAGGTGTCCCTGGTTCAGGTCCAGTGGCAACATGGGAGAGGGTCCGAGCTGACTTAGGAGCCGGAGGCGGAGATGTGGAAGCTACACCCAAAGCTGTTTGTAGAATGAGACTTCATGGGCGAAGTCTGATTCTAGTGGGGGAGAATTGTAACATCCGGATTCCCAGGTATCTTATTTTAATTATTTATCTTGAGTTTTATGGAGGGACTCGGCGAGTAGACGCTCAGACTCGCCGAGTAGGATCGCAAGTTCTTGTCTGGATTAATGACCGGACTCGACGAGTCGATGAGTGGACTCGGCGAGTCCGCGCTGTAAAGTGAAACCCTAAATCTCAGGGCCTGAGCCCTATTTAAAGGCCCTTATGGCCATCATTTGCGGCCACTACTCCCCTGTGAAAACCGTAGAGAGCAAAGAGAGCTTAGAGAGCAATTTGGAGGCTAATTCTTCATCCTTTGGTGTGATCTTGCAAGAAGGAGTGGGAAAATCCAAGCTAGATCGATTGTGGAGCTTGGATCTGTGCTGTTCACACTGAGATTCACGTTTTGAGGTACAAGTTCCTTCCCATTTCGTGTATTTGATAGATTCCTTGAATCTAGGGTTTCCTTTGCACAATTTTGAGTTAGATTGTGAAGCATATGAGGTTCCTTTGGGTATAGATGATAGATCTGGACCTTGAGAGGTCCAAAAGGTCCCAAGCTTCCAGCTTTATGAGGTTTCATGTGAGCCTTGAGAGTAGAACCCCATTTTAAAGGTTATTTCTCCATTTTTGGTCTTATAAGCATTGCATGAATGTAAAGTTTGAACCTTTACGTGACTTTCGAGTGTTAGAAGGATAGATCTACTGGTTGGTGAAGCAGATCTGACCTCAAAAGATCATTTGAGCGTTTTCATGGGAGGAACTCGCCGAGTCCATAAGGGACTCGACGAGTCGAGTCGGGTTGCCCCGCGATTCGCGACCTGTGATAACCCGTTGAGTGTAGGGTTGACTCAGCGAGTCGAGTGAGGACCAGGGGCGAAAAGGACACGCATGGACTCGCCGAGTCGCCCATGTGCACTCGACGAGTCGGGTCAAAGTTGGACCGTTGACTTTCGTTGACTTTTAGGGTTTTGGTCAACATTTGGACTTTTGGATCAAGGAGGGGTAAAATGGTCTTTTACCCTTCTGAGGGATTGTAGAAGGGGATTTAATCTAGCATTTGAGAGCCATTATTTATTTGAGGATATTGTGTATGTGACTAGGCGGGGGCTAGATCAGTATATTCGTGTGAGAGATCATCCGAGATACCCGAGGTGAGTCTTCTCACTATACATTACCTAGAGTGGTATTTATGTGTATACCGGAGGGTCTTGTATGCTATGTGTATATATGAGATTATGTGCATTGTGTTATATGTATGCTATGTGTTGTATAGACCGGACCGAAGGGTCCAACGATACAGACCGGACCGAAGGGTCCAACGATACAGACCGGACCGAAGGGTCCAACGAGCTACAGGACTGGAGGGTTCCGCTGAGACACATCGACCGGAGGGTCGTACTATAGCCTCGAGTGGCGTATGTGTTGTATGTGGTATTTTGGGGAACTCACTAAGCATTTATGCTTACCGTGTTGTGTGTTATGTGTTTCAGGTACCAGTGAGGATCGCGGGAAGGTGCCGACATGATTAGTACACACTCATAGAGATTATGTTGAGATTCTGGGAATTGTTTTGTGATGATGACATTGGATACATTATGTTTTGATATTGTTTTATGATTAAAAGTACGATTTAAAAATGAAAAAATTGTTTTGGAAATTTACGTCGTTACATTAGGATTAGTTTGATTGGTTGTTGCTATTCATCATAAATGACGCAAAACATTATTTCATTTCATTCATTATTCAGACAAAGTTTTCGTTACTCGTTTAATGATTTGAATGGTTCAATTTTATCTTATAAAAATGGTGTTTTTATATTTGAAGCTTTACCTTGCAATGTTGTGTATGAAACAATGACTTGTTTTGATAGCTTAGGCAATAGTGTATTTCACATTGAATCGTCTAACGGTTTAGACAAGTCATGCTTGTGGAATTGTCGTCTTGGGCACATTAACAAGAAACGCATCGCCCAGCTCCTAAAGGATGGAGTGTTGGAATCATTTGACTTGGGGCCAGATGATGAGTGTGAATCTTGTCATTTGGGAAAGATGAAAAAATCATCTTTCATTAGATCTTGTGAAAGTGGTGAAGATTTAATGGACCTCATACATACAAATGTGTGTGGACCCTTCAGATCTACCACAAGAGATGCGAATCGGTTTTATGTTACATTTACGGATGATTATAACAGGTATGGTTATATGTACTTGGTTAAACATAGATCATAAACCTTTGAAAAGTTCAAAGAGTTTAAACATGAAGTCGAGAATCAATTAGGCAGGAAGATAAAGATGCTCCAATCTGATAGAGGAGGAGAGTATCTTAGTATCGAGTTCCATGACTACCTTAAGGAATGTGGAATACTTGCACAATTGATTCCTCCTGGAACACCACAACTTAATGATGTGGTTGAGAGGCGCAATCGGACCTTTTTGGACACGGTTCGTTCCATGATGAGTCAAGCCAATCTTCCCATCTCTTTCTGTGGGCATGCCTTAGATACAACCGCCCATATCCTTAATCTTGTCCCCACTAAGAAGGTTGCCAAAACACCTCACAAGATGTGTACGGGGAAAGTTCCCTCGTTGGCACATATCAAAGTTTAGGATTGTGAAGCTTTCGTTAGACGAGAGACTCATGACAAGCTAGAATCCAGAAGTGAGAAGTGTATTTGTATTTTCATTGGCTACCCATATGTAACGCCCGTAGATCCGGGCTAGTCAATTTAGAGATAATAGGGGTCGAAAACGACTTTTTGACAAAAGATTATTTAGAATAAATAATCTTAAACAAGTTGTAGAATATGTCTCAAGGGTTCCGTACATATAAAGAACGCCGAAATCCGAGTTATAACGAAGAAGTTATGGCCCGTCGAAGTTTTTCGGCAAAACCGGCACGGCACCGGGAGACGTAAATAGTGAATTTACAATAGAGGACTTTTTAGCCTTAGTGATCTAAAAAAAAGTTATAGTATATGTTAAACCAAGAACATCCATAAAAAGAACGCCCAAATCTGACTTCGTATGAGGAAGTTATGAATTTTCTAAGATTTGGCATAGCAGTACACGGCCCGAAACTCGAATTTTAGTTCGAGAGGTTTTTGGCTTACGCAACCTAAATGAGAGTTGAAGATCTCAGTAATAGGAACTCAACGGTAAAAAGACAGACGAAAACGGAGCCCGTATGAAGGAGTTACGAATTCTTCGTGGTCATTTAACAGTCTAATCTCATCCTACTATTAAATTTAAGATCGGTTGAGAACTAGCCGATGGAGTCTAAATGAAAGCTGTATATCTTGTTTTTACCTACGCGTGGAAAAAAAGAACGTCGAAAACGGAGCTTATATACGAAAGTTACGGGGTTTAGAAGTCGGCAGGGTGCTGCTGCAAAATGGGTGACGTGGCTGATTATGGGCCAAGGCTTTCTCCCCAAGGCAAGCCACCAGAAGGTGACATGTGGCATGGACGCGACGAGTAGGAGGACCTACTCGACGAGTAGAGCTGTTTTCCAGCCTATAAATAGAGGTGTCGGGTTCCCTCATTCTTCACACCATTCCAACCTCTTCTCTCTCTCTAGAACCTCTCTCTAGCCCCTAAACCCCCCAAAAAGCCTAGGGAACCTCCCTAGCACCCGAAGGAAGCCCTGAGGCTCCCGGAGTCCTGATAAAGGAGCCTTTCGGCTCGGGAACGCTGCTCCGGCGAAGCCCGGTTTTTTAGAAAAACCCGTTGTAAGTGCGCTACGCCTAACCTATCTTTAGTATAGCTTATGTTTTAGTATAGTATTGTTATTAGGACCTTATAATAATTATTTGGGCTATTATTATGAGTTATATAGTGTTGTTTAATGCTTATATAATAATAATAATAATAATAGCTAGACTATTAACTAGTCTCAGTTAACGTTAGACTAAACCCTAGTGGTATTGATACTAGGTTTTGTCAAGGGAAAATTGTTTTGAGATAACGAAGCGCTGTCCGAGTTCCGAGTCACCACCTGTCTGGTGAGTGCATAGTCCCTTTCATCTTACACATAGATATGAAGTATTTAATATAAATTACGTGCTATGTGTGCATATTTTCTGTATACTTGCCGTCTGTGCTGGGTGAAAGATTTTTATACATGTTTTAAATGATTTAAACTGTATATGTATTTTATATCTACAAAATGTGTTGGGTAAAACATGGGTAGATGAAATAGTTGTTGTGTGACAAAAATAAAATGATGAGAAGTGATATAGACCATGAGATAAGGGTGAGAGGTAAACCATGAGAGAAGCCTTTTACCCATGTGTTGGCCCCGTCATTCAGCAGAGTATGGATGACAACCATGGACTATTCTAGACAGTCCAGTGGACACTAGCAGGCTCGCAACCTGTAGGTGTTTTGAACTGTGTATTCACCAGATGTACTCTAAAAACCCATTGACATGTATTGCGAGTGGATTCTCGGAAACGATACTGTCGATAAACGAGATAAAAACCCATTGATATGTATTGCGAGTGGATTCTCGGAAACGATATTGTTGATAAACGAAATAGCCCTGACAGCTATGGATTTAGTGCCTGTTGAGCAAACCCTGGCAACTATGGATTTAGTGCCCGTTGAGTAAACCATGGCAACGATGGATTTCGTGCCTATTCCTTAGGATGATCCTTAGGAACGAATGAACAAGAAATAGTTGATTCTTAGGGTAGATCCTTAAGAGTAAATAAGA